AACAAACTGAGGAATAAACATTGGCTATTTTCAGAAAAATGGAAGGGGATATCTTCAGCAATGGATGGATGCAAATTTTCCCACATCTTTCATCTTAAATTGTTCTAACATAAACGGTTTCCTATCTACAATTTCCAGTAGTCTTTATCGATGTAGCTTAAACTAAATCTTACTACTAAACACTAAACTGTTTAATCCAATCTCACACGTGACGAGAATTTGTGAGCATGGCTGGCTGGTTTCAACATAGAACTTTGCACCGATGTGCAGCAGTTCAAGTCGCCACACTTCACTCAGTACACAAAGCAAGAGAAAGTAAAAAGAAACGCAAAATAGAAACAGTAAACAGAGATATGAGGCAAAAAGAATAGTAATATCGAAGAACAATATAGTTTCATTGGAAATTATAAGTCACAAGGAGTGGATGCATCTGAGCCAGCCATTGAGAACGATTTTGATCTAGCCATGTCACCAATTGTCTCCAGCCATTGCTTTTTACCGTCCCGAGGACCCCAACCAGGAAGTTTACGCCTCCCTGCGTGGCTGGCTTAAACTAACTGTTGTGGATTTCATTAACTGGTGCCATGCTTTGCGTTGACCTCCACTGGCTTTTTTCCAGCCTGACCCTATGTCGGTTAACATTGCCCATCGAGGAAGGTGATGGATAGGCATGCGTAACACATGTCCTAACGATCTCAATCGACGTAACTTCACAGCTTCGTCTATTGATTTCACCTCCCACCTACCTAGCCCTCTTATGCCATTTCACACGGGAGATAGAACGAAGGCAACTGTGATCAAAGACAGCTAATCTTTTCATGTCTTCCACTCTCAATGGCCACGTCTCACAGCCATAAAGAAGGACGGAGCGGACTGACGAGCAGTACACACGTCCTTTGGTCGATAGCCGGATATCACGTCTACGCCAGAAACGGCGTAAACTGTCACATGCCAAACTAGCTTTCTGTATCCGTACTGAGATCCCATCAGCGATCAACCCGCTGGCGTTGGTTGATGCAACTTCCCAAATAAGTGAAGTGGTCAACGTGCTCTACCACTTCACTCCCTATTTCTAAGCTAGGAGTGAGTCAATGTAGTCCAGTCCTGTAGCGCCATCTCACATTTGGTGTGGATTCTACAGTTCCAATAAAAGGTTTGAAATCAATGTTGTACACAATACATCGACTATTCAGATCTTTGATTTTCTACGGATGTTGATTAAACCGAAGGTCACTTCGTTTTACTCTCTCCCATGATCTTCCTTGGATGACTGCTCCATATTTGTTTACATTCAATAAATACTCTGTATACCGTGTTACGCAAATAAACTTCAGACTGTGACACATGTCAGTTTCGTCTACTTAATGAGCATTATTCTATGAAGTCTGCTTTCTGCAGTTAGTTAAGACACATACATTATAATGAAATTTATTTATTCAAACAATAACTAGCTGTCACAACGAGTCTCCAGCCATTGATTCGTAGGATACCTAGAACTCACGGAAGAACAGTCTTGGTCTTCCTGGGTTAATGCCACGTTTCTGCCCGTCCATTCATGATTCTTACCCAACAGAATCACACGTCAGACGATACTACTTACCATGACATACATAACACATATTCTAGCTACTTATATAAATAAAGCTTCACGACGTTATTGATTAAAATATTTTTCCTTATGTTTAGTCTCAGCATTACTTTCCACATACTTTGACTGCGTCTAAGTAATACAATGGAGATAGGTATAGTCAAAAAACATTGATAATCTCATACCTTTCACCTATAGTAAAACAAAACGCTTTGCTATAGAATACACGCACTCTTTCATAGGTAACCGAGTGTTATGCCAATGCCAGAAAGAGGGCATACAACCAACTATCATCAACGTTCACAAACAACACTGGGATTAGACAGGGTCGCCCAATCTCCATATTCCTCCCTAAATTTCCCAACGATGACATACTACAGTTAGCTCTAAAGAAAGTGAGTGGAGGCAGTGTAGATCTGCTCCGTGGAGAAAGACTTCTCGACCTCGAGTATGCAGACAATATAGTTTTACTGTGCTGCTCAAATCGCACTCATTTATTTGGCGATCAGTGTCTGTAAGTATGGTATGTGCTTTGCACCTTCTAAGTCCAAAGTATTGTTACATGATTGGCAGGAGCCTGTACCTGCACTCATTCTGGCAGGCAAACAGCTTGAAGTTATCGATAAGTTCGTGTATCTGGGTAGTTGTGTGAGTGCTGCTGGAGGCATGATGGATGAGATTTCTAACCGTATCATGAAAGCTAGGGTGGAATACGTCAACTTGAGCCACCTCTGGCGCCGCTGCGACGTTAGCCTGGCTGTCAAAGTTCGGGTTAACAGTACTTCGGTGCGTGCTATCTTGCTTCACGCCTGTGAAACCTGGCCTCTCCGAGCTGAGGATGTGTGGCAACTCTGCGTATTCGATCACCGCTGTCTCCGTAGGATTGTTTGCCTTCGATGGTATCATCTTATGAGTAATCCTGAAGTTCAGCGGCGTGTCTGAACACAGTCAATATCTGTCTTAAGTTAGCATCGGTTGGTGCGTCACGACTCCCTGGCTGGAGTCCAAGAGAGAGCTCGAATCGGTGGCTCGAAACGTTATCGAATTTGGCCAAGAATCGCAATCAATGGCGAACGTACTACGATTTCCCTCTTTCTTTCCTCTCTGACAATAATTGACGAATACTGTTTGAACTTGTTACATATGACTAGTTTCCCCCAGATGAAGTTCTTTATTCGTTCTCTACCCATATTTTTACTTTTTATCTCATATGTTGTTTTATTATTATTGCATGGCGCATCTTCTTGGTGCCAAATTGTACCAATTCTTTTGTGTTTAAATAATAATAGTGCCAATGTTGTAGATGGCACCAGCTGGTGACAGCTAAGCTATTTCATGTATTTACATATATATCGCATTCCAAGTCATCCTAGAAGAGCTGATTGAACCTCTCAAACAATCGAAGTGGCCGGAATCGTCCACTACTTTACTTCCCAATCTAAGTGAGTGCAGACGATTACTATAGCACCACTCCGCATAAGACAGGAGCAAGACACATTTCAAATAAACTCAAGTTTATGCTCAAGGTTCAGCAGATTGCATCTTACAAGTATTTTCACCTAGCAGGGGTATATCATCTGAGAAATATGATGCCAGGGGAGTCGGCTATACACATACTCAGCTGCATCAGCGTGTATGTAATAAAACTAAATAAAAACAAAAATTGTCTCTTTGGATAACCACTCTCCACAGACTCTAACATGATTGCATGAATTCAAGTGGACTGATTTGATTAGAAAAATATACTTTCTCAAGACTCGCTTCACAGTCAAGCATTATTAAGAAATGTCTCGACAGATAGCTAAGAAATACAGTAAATGTCGGAAATCAGCTATTAAACCTATCGAAGAGTGAGGGTGTGACTGATATTTCACTATCTGAACCGATGATCTGCTTGGTTTCCATTTATTCGGTTTTCTCCAGAAATGGAACCCTGGATGATATTACAACACTTATCTGTATAGGTTCACCTTTTCTACATAACTCCACTTCTCAATTAAAACACTTCTCAGAGGAATCGTTATGCCGACAGCGTGATTTGAATCACTGCATCCTGTGATATATTCGGAGATAGAAAAATGAAATAAGTTACTCCCCTTTATTTTTCAAACTATTTTCCTCTTTCCATTGTGATCCTAACGTGACAGATCCGGACGCAGCATTATCGATCAACCTGCCTGAATCACTGATATTTGATAAACTATATATATATATATATATATATATCCTTGACGAAGTTAAAGTATCATAGCCATAGTCAAGGTTTTTCAAACGTTGACCTTCAAGAACCGATCAGATAGGGGGAATGCTATGAAGTATCATCCCAAGTCAAGTCATCCCTACCTTTGTGGACTTGGAGAGGATAGACAGAGAATTCTACTTATATACTTATACTATATATACTGCAGATCTGTACTGTTAATTGGGTTATGGCTTCTAAGATTAAAGCTTATAAGCTTTACTAAGTACTTGGGTTAAGGTTACGATTAGGATTAAACTTAGGATTATGATTAGAGTTAGGATTAGCATGAAGAATAGTGTCAGAAATACCAGTGGATCTACAGTGACCTACAGTAATCTGGATGAATGGCTTTATCGCAGATTGTACGATTTCTCTATAGATCATCTGTGTAATTACTGGGAGATATTCTTACAACAAATAAGCTGCAACTATATAGTGTATTATCACGCTTGCAATAGTTTTCAGTATATTTTTCAACGATTATACTTTTTTGCATCTGAGTTCTGAATGGTTGTTCAAAGTCACTGTGGTTTCGGCTAAGATAGTTTAACTTTGCCATATCTTCAAATCATATTTAGAAATGTGAAATACATTTAAGACAAAGAACTTTTGGAAGTTTAATGTCTAAATTTAGAGGAAATATTTCTTCATGTATGAGATGAAATTCCCCGAATTCACACTGGAGAAGTATTTATCAGCAAGCAAAGTTAAGCTCATAAGTCGAGTTTTTGTTTAAACAAGGAATTAAAAGCGGTGATGTGCAAGAATCCAGTCAACCGACTATGAAACAAAATTACTGTGCATGTGCTCATACGCATTATAGTATGTGCCCATTGACAGCATGGATAGAACGAATAAGAGTGGATAACAATATGCGTAGAAGGGAAAAAGTGAGTAAAGAAAGGGAAACGTGGACATTGCATGATGCACTTCACTCATCTTTCGCTCGTGTTTCAACCAATCGAAATTACGTCCTCCTTACATTTCCCATGTGTATTTCTCGAATGAGTACACAATAAAAAAGATCAACATGATCGATGTAAATGAGTAATTCTGCCAGAGTCTTTTCTAGGAAATAAACATTTCTAAAACGCTTAGTAACATAAGACTGATTTAAAAGAGTACGACATTTTATTAAGCCTGTGGCTAGTACCAGTCTCAACAACATACCGTTGTCATTTAGTTCCATGATGACCTTTGATTTATATTTCTGTCGGCCTTTCAATAACAAATGTTTTTTTCACAGACTTCAGATTCAGATTTCAGATTTATTGGTTGAGGATAGAAGGCTTGGAGCCTATGTTAACCCTTTTCTAGTAAATTTCTGTGGTTATCCAAACCCTTCTTGAACGAATCAGTTGAGATTGCAGACACCATTTCTTCTGGGAGTCCAATATCCAATATCGTTTTTACGAGCTAGTATAAACCAATTTGATTTCTTTGTGCTAGCCTCTTGATTGTGAGGTAGAGGTTCCTGATCTTTGGTAGACGTCTGCGTAGCTCGTCCCGCCATTCGACTGCCGTAGCTTTGGTTGACTCCAAAAGGAGTAGTGCAGGGATTAACTATATGTGGTTTGTAGTATGAGGTGTGTTAAGATTGTTACTACTGTGAATGGAGTTGATCCTTTCACCGGTTGGTCCTTCGGTATCGTCGTCAATAGAAAAGAGATAATAATAATAATAGATATAATTAGTGAAGGTATTCAGACTAACAGACAGAAAAAGAATAAGAAAACGTAACAACAGTCAGTCAACCGGTATGTATATATACCAGTAATAATGATAATAATAATGATAGGGGTAGTTAAAGCTGTCAGGAGAGTAAGACTGAAGAGAATGTAAAGAAGTAAAACGACCAGTTTAATTATCTACCTTTGAATGGTGTATGCGATTTTAAGGGGATAGGCCATTTGGATGAAGTCCTCGTGTCGCTGCATGGTTGTCCAGCCTTCGCTTAAAGGCGTCCACAGATGGTGCCAAAGCTACATCTGACGGTAAGAAATTCCGGGGACGGCAAACCCGCAGGGAAAAGAAGTGGGAGCGCACCCGGGTCCTTGCCCTCTGATGAGCTATCCTTCTAGGATTTCCACGAGGGAGCCTATACCTACTCAATGGCAGAACACCTTTGTTTGGGTGATTCTGATCATTTGTTATTTTGTAGGCAGTAATTAAATCCCCCCCCCCCCAAGACGACGGTAACTGAGTGTGAATAGGCCTAATTTCTTCAGCCTTTCGTCATATGGTTTATTTCGGAGAAAATCCACTCCTTTTGTTGCCCGTCGTTGGGCTCTTTCCAAGAGGTTGGCGTCTCTTTTAAGCAGTGGGGGTGCAATTTCACTATGCACTTCAAGGTGTGGTCTGACGTATGTTTTATACAACCTTAGAAAGAGCTCAGGAGTGAGTGCACCTAGTTGTCTATGTGTAAAGTGTATGACCGCATATGCCCTCGCTACATCCCCCGTGTAATTTACGCTTGTGTCCATTTTCTCCGTTAGAACTAGACCTAAGTCACGTTCCGACGTTGAGCAGGACAAGCTTTCATTGCACAGGGTGTAACTTGCATTCTGCAGTCTACAGGTGCGTAACTTCACTACTTTGCACTTTTTCAGGTTGAAAGTCATGCCACTGGCTACCGCCTAGTCTTCCAGAAGCCTTAGATCTGCCTGCAGTCTATCTGAGTCCTCCGGACACTTTATCGCCCTCCATATCTTTACGTCATCAGCGTATAGAAGAGTCGGGCAGTTTAGACGGCATGGTAAATCATTAATAAAAATCAAGAACATCAGTGGTCCCAGGATAGAACCCTGCGACACTCCTGATGACGAGCTGTGCGAAGATGATCGGACTCAATTGACCTTGGTGCAAAATTGCCTTTCAGTTAGGTAGTCCTTCAACCATGACAGAAGTGGTTTACCTAAACCTACCTGGCTTATTTTGTGTAGGAGAAGGTCATGGTGAACAGTGTCAAATGCCTTCTCAAAGTCTAGAAAGATCACATGGACAGGAACATTCACATCCCAGCATGATGTCCAGTCGCCCCAAGCTGATAATAGGTTAGTGACGCAGGATCGCCCTTTCCTGAAACCGTGTTGGGCTTCATGGAGTATTTTAGACCTATCCAGATATTCCCTGATGTGATCATCAATAATACTTTCCAGTACTTTCGATACCACTGGGAGTAGAGCTACTGGTCTATAACTGGTGGGATTTTGCCTACCCCCACCCTTGAAGATCGGAGAAAGGATGCTTCTTTTCCATTCCTTTGGCGGTTTCCCCGATCCCATGGAGTGTTGGAACAAGTCGCATAAAGGCCTACAGAGAGCTTTGGCGCACTGTTTCAGAACAGATGGCCTGATGTCATCACAACCTGGGGACTTTCCAGGTATGAGTCGCTGCAGCTTTCTCAGTACTATTGCAGGGTTTATTTGGGGGTGGCAATTTGGTCTTCCTCCCGTGAAATAGTCATGCCACCATTTTGGTCCGCAACGGTAATACCCACATTGCTGTTTAGCTGTTTGGCGAAGGCTAAACTAAATGTTTCAGCCATCTCCAGACTAGTGAGTTATTGACCGTTTTGGCCTACTAAGGCGCACGCCGTCTGGTTGGTTGGTTTCCTTTCCGACATGAATCGGTACAAATTCTTCGGGTTTGCCAGGAGTTTTTTAGCAAGGTTAGCCTGGAATAACCTCCTGTCCCTCTTGACTCTTGCATTGCACCGGTTCCTGAGTTCCAGGTATGCATCATGGTCGATCTGGCTTTTAGATGCGCGCCACGTAAACCAAGCCTTCCGCTTTGCTTGCAGAATATGCTGCGTGCCTCTCTTTAACCATGATGACATTTTTGGGCTGTGTTGTGACTAAAGGGACGGTATCCGAGATTACTGCATGAAAAATCTTTTTTACCGCTTCCCAGTGTTCATCCACAGACAGCTCATCCCATGCTAAGGGCCAGTCTACATCGGACAAGAGCCTCCGCATTTCAGCATAGTCAGCCTTGCTATAACACAGACATGGTTGCTTAGCGTCCCACTGCAAGTGCTCACGGAGAACGAGGTCGAAACCTATGACTGCATGGTCACTACTTCCTAGAGGAGTCATGATCTGGACCTTCTCGACAAGTAGTTGGTCACTAGTTAGAATGTAGTCTAGTTTTGATGACTTTCCACTAGGGCGCCACCTAGTGTCGTCTCCAACGTCCTCAGTCAGTCCCGTGTTCCGAATAGCTTGCAGCAGATTTCGGCCGAATTTTCCCTTAGCATACCCCGAGCCAAGGTTAAGTGATGGGGCATTGAAATCTCCAGCAATGGTGATTTGGTCATAGCCCAAGTCTCGTATCCCTGTGATAGTGCTGAGCAGTAGCTGATTGTGCTCTACCCCACAGGTGGGAGATCGGTAGATGCCACCAAGTAAATGCTTGGTGTGGCCTACGGTGAAATGACACCATATGGAGTCTGGGAGTTCAATAAGTGGTGGATCCGTTGCGCGCACACATTTAAGTTGCCTATCAAAGTATATGGCAACTCCCCCTCCTTCCTTATTATCCCTGTCTCTCCTGACCAAAACCATATCACCCATACTGATTTCATTATCGGCGATAGTGGGGGTTAGCCATGTTTTGGTGAGAATGATCATTTTCAGTTGTAGGTGTGCTTGGAGATTTCGGAGTTCACCTATTTTTCCTTTCAGCCCCCTCACATTGCTATATAGGCAGCTGACAGTGAGTCTTACAACCTCAGCGTGTTGTGGGGTAGTTGACGTGAAGCTGCCTGCTGGTAGAAGACTTAATGTTGGGACTAGTTGGCCAGTTCCGATGGAACCGGCCCGTTGTGGTTTTTTCCCTTGGATTTAGGCAGGACACTTGGGTGACACAGACTGTTATTCTCAGAACTGCATCGCTCGAGTGTCACTGAAGCTTGGGGACGTATTAAAGCCTCCGTTTGCTGCCTCCTTATGGTTCGAGGTCTGCTTTCGCAGCATCGGATGTGTCCTCCCAATTTCCCCTTGATCTCATACCGCCGTCGAAGTGCTATGGCCAACTGCTCTGGGGAGTTGCATGTGACACTTAGCAGCTTTGGGGAGCTAATCAGTGTGAGATGAGCGGGACGAGGTAGTCGGTGAACGGAGATGGCTCCAGAAGCGCCAAGGGCCATCTGAGACGACAGCCATCTCCACTGCTGTACGTCATGCATGTGTTTTTCACAGGCAGTGCCCGTTTCCAGCTCCGGAACACCGTGTACCACCATACAGGTAGAAGAAAAAAGTTCCGGTGACTCCCTCGCCATTTGTCTGACAGACCATGGTCTGTCCTGTCTCACCCTTATGTTAGAGCTTCTGTCGATGGCTAATACCTGAGCCATCAATAGTACCTTTTCGGCCTCTTCGGCAGAGTCCAGTGTAACCCGTAATGGCTTACCTTGAGGTGTGTGGACACCCCTGTACAGCCTGCACAATTTCACTGAACTAATATTCAGACCTAGTTTATTGCACAGGTTGGACCACTGTTCCTGATCAAACAGGGCCCGCTGTTCAAGCAAGCTGTCCTTGCTCACAGGTACGTTAAAGAGGATGAGCGAATTAGACCGATTAACCTCAGACTTAGGTTTGGCCTTTGACTTCTCGTATTCCTTTGCAGCATCAGCAACTTTAGGCTTCATCGGGTTCTGGCCAGCCTTTATTGTGTTGCCAAGCTTGCTTGTGGATGCAAGTGGCGCTTCTCTAATCCTACCTTTCCTTGATGATTTGGGTCCAACCTTTTGAATCTTCACCTTGTGAAAATTGGCATTTTCAGTCAGTAGGACTGGAGTGTCCTTCTTACTGTCTGTGCCAAGTTTTGGCAATGTGATGTTAGCAGGTGGGGAGTTACATAAGGCCGTGTTGGGACACAAGGGCGGCGTGTTGTTTCTACCATCCGCAGACACGCTCTGTGTGACTATGCCAGGGCGACAGAGTGGACAGATGTACCAAAACCACGGGCTCGGGTTATTTCTCATAAACTCGTAGTATGATTTCGGTACCTCTTTGTCGCAACGGCAGTGCACCCACCGTTTGCAAAAATTGCATTCGAACGCTGAGTCAGCTTTAGAAACAATGATATTGCACGCCTGGCATTCGTATCCCTTACTTGGTGACGCCTTCGAGGTCTTATGACGTCTTGAGCGTTTCCTTTTAGGTTTGTTGTACTTCACACATTGGCTTTCAGTTGGTGCAGGTGTAGTATCCTGTCCCCTAGTATTGCCTGTACCGTTTCAGTACTAGACTGTGGCAATGTAGGCGTAGTATCAGAACAGAGTAGACCTACACGAGTCTTTAGGATGGGTATGCGACTTGGGGTTGGTGTCTCTGGGTTTTTGCCTTCTCTGGCTGAAGCCCTT